GGGGGAAAGCCATGATCTAACGGCTATAATCCAACGAAGAAGGCGATCACAAAACGACGAAGCTACCCAGTTCGATTCGAGACCAAATTGTTGTCCCCGAGGGAGATAGCGAGATGGGTCTGACGCCATTTATAGAGAGAGACAAGACACGAGCGTGTGTAATAATGGCGAAATGGAAGATGGTCGAAACTGGAAAACAGAAAGCGAAATTGTGGGCAAAAAAACAAAAATCTTTGGGGATAATGTCACGGAAACCCTAACGGCCACAAAAAAAAAAAAAGAGAACCCCTTTTTTTGTTTCAGAAATTTTCATGGAGGGAAGAAAGCGAGGATTCTTACATGTGGTAGTTGTGATGGAGACTTGTTGGAGATCGAATCATTAGGGTTCTTGGTGGGGTTGAAGACAAAATCGAGGTTTCTGGGAGGTTGGCCATATTTGAGGTTAGGGTTTATTGGTTTCTCTCATCTTCTCCAATTTTGGGTCTCTTTCTTAATCACTTCGATGCAAAATTAAGCATTCTTCATAAACGCGTTACAATCAAACAAACCTAACTAAACCATGGTTAGTTTGCACACACAACGCGGAAAGTTTTTTTTTTTGGTATGAACGTGGGGAAGCAGGGGTGTCAATCGGGCCGGGTCGGGTTACAAAGGTTTTGGGATCGGGTTCGGGTCGGCCTGATTTTTTCGGGTTTATATAATCAAGCCTGAATCTCGGTTCTATATATTCCGAAATCGGATCGGATCGGACCGGACTGGAGACGCTATATGACACGTGGACGGTGAATAATCGTGATTTAACCATGGAAATCGGCGTTTGATCTCACCCGAAACGGAGACGCTATGTGACACGTGGACGGTCAATAATCGTGGTCTCGCCGTTTGTCACCATCGCGATTTGGTGACGCGCGTCGCAAACGTTGTAATTCTCTTTCAGAACCTTCTAGCTTAGCTAGAGACTACGACTTCTATTAATTGCGTCTCAGCGTTGGATTGGGCCTCGCTCGCTTAACATAGGTATTGGGCTTTACACATTGAGCCGGCCTAACCGTAGCCATGATTTGGCATATACTCATGTCCCATATATACATACATATATATATGTATAATCATGGATTAGATCGAGAATCCTAGCTGTTCAAGAATCAAGACAACTTCCCAACCTGTACTTGGGTTACCCTTGTTATCATTGGAACCCTAGTCTCCTCTTTGCCGTGTTGTCGTGTCTAAATTTAGAAACTTTTCATAAGATACGCATGCATGGCAATTCGAACTTTCCACATAAAGCTCAAAATTTCAGCAACGAGATGTATAACTTCTAAGTTGTCATCTTTGTATTTAATGGGAACCAATTCCACAAATCATCAAAACAGTCCATATATAGATACTTTAGATATGTACCTTCCATTTAAGAGCATTGATATATAATTGCATTTGCATGATTAGAAAACATCCTTGGATGTGAAAACATGCGATGCCCGAAACCGGATGTGTCTGTACACTTTTACAGAAAATAAAAAGAAACACGAGAATACTATATATCAATCAATACTCTTACAGAATATAATGCTATATAATATATAACGTATACCTTGATAGATTCACCCTTCTTGATCGTGTCCCCATATCTTCAAATATCGATCTTTAGCTCGTTTAATATTCAATATCTCTCAATGAGTATATTCTTTTAAAAAGCATATATTACATGAAATATATAAATCTTTGTGGGACGTGATTTTAGAGACGTTGGCCTAACCGAAGTTCAAGATCCAATCCTTCCTCCGTCTCACGATAGCTCGAGCTCGAACCATGATCTGCCATGTCTTGCAAAGACTCCTCCTTATTTTGCTCTTTTGATCTTTTTTCGTCCACCAGTGAAGCCATACCAATAAAATCCGACAGCTCCACGACCTTTTCAGCGGCGTCAACCTTCTGGTGAAACCCTAATTTATCATCAACTCGATCTTGTTTCGCTTCCTCGCATACCGAATCTTGTTGCTCGTTGAGGCCGTCGTCCTTCTCTTCTAATAGCTGCCTCAGCTTCGCCCTGTCTCTTCTGTGGATGTTCATATGCCCTCCCAAGGCTTGAGCGTTGGAGAACCCTCTCATGCAGAAACTGCATATGTAAGATCTTATGTGGTCCTGAGAACTAATTTGACGGTCGATATCTTCGCTTCTCTTTGATATTCGATCACAATACTCGCCTGATTTTCTTGGATTGTTAGCGTCCATAAACCCAATAACAAGAAAAGGTTGGATCTTCGTGCAAATATGGACGAAATTATAAGAATGAGACCTCAAGGAGAAGAAGAGAAGAACAAGAAGATCAGAGATGAACCGAATGGTCAACCCTTCGCGTTTTTGTTGCCTCAAGGCATTACGGAAGAAACAAAAACCCAACTGTACATGTGTCTTCATCACACATTTTTTTTTTATTATTAAAAAAGAAAATATTGAATCCACGGCATAAGAAAGATGGTTAGGGTTTCATTCATGTATACGCTTACATGAAATGTTCAAAGCTTAGAAGATTTCATTTTCTAGAAAACCGGAAAAGTCCGGATGAATGTCTCTTCCCAAATGGAGATTCGAATCTAGATTATAAATGAGTTTTGTTTCATCCTTTACCAATCGAGTTAAAGCTTTGATAAACTATGTATTATTGATTAATGCAACTTCTGCTATTAATCTCGGTCACTAATCAATCACTTGAATTCACAATCAAAGAGATTAACAACCATTCATCGTATGGTTACTTTCGTAACTAATTCAAACGGTATTAAGAGTTCAAAAATTACTAAAAACATTGTTATGAATAATTAACTAAACAAATTATCTTACGACAAAGAATATATTATTTTAGTATTGAATATATAAACCTCTAATTTTATAAGACAAATTAACAAAACACGCATGCATTTGACATATAATTGGCCCGACCAAGCATTTTGGCTTTTTCTTTTTGTCTTTATTTAAATAAAGCATAAAACCATTATATCTGTATTGATCTTGCTTTTCGTAATTTGCATTATAATAACACGACG